CCTGCTTTCTGCTCCCGGCCCCCTCACCCAGCTTGACGGCGGAGTCAGCCAAACAGCGGTCCCACTTCCTCCCTAGATCACCCTCCGACGCCATCTTGGCCGCTACCCGCCTCCAGCCTGCCCCTTGTCAGTCAAGCGTCCTCCCGCCTCGGTGGGCGGAGCTCTCGCGAGATCTGCCTCCGCTCCGCCGTAAACCCAGCCACCCTCGCGAGAGCCTGAGTGGGTGGGGCTCAGGGTTTTTTTTCTATAGGACGCTTTTGGTTTTTGTTTCCCCGCCTTTAACGTAGGTCGTCCCGCTTCCTGGCTCCTGTTGCCAAGGGTAACCAAGGGTGCCCTTAGCAACCTGGTCCCGAAGCTTGACCTTGGGACAGAGTAGGCCCGAAAGGCGGGAAGGGCCGGCCTTGCGCGGCGCAATCCGCTGGCATCCCGGCTCCTGGGGGGAGCAGGCCTCCATCAACCCACTTATTATATTATCCCTCTCTCCGTGGTCCCCCTTCCCGTTTTTAGTGGATGGATTATGACATGTAAGAAAGTCAGAGGGGAAACTAAGTTTCCCCCAGGTTGGCGCCTGCCTCTGGGTGCGAGCACCCGGTTGCCATCTTCCTCAGCAGCTACAGTAGGCTGCTATGCAAAGCAGCGAGTCCTCATTTGTTGGAGGGGCATCTGCCAGAAATCCTGTATTGCGGTGTTTTTCAACCTTGGCAACCTTAAGACGTCTGGACTTCAATTCCCAGAATTCCCCAGCCAGAATTCTGGGAGTTAAAGTCCAGATCTTAAAATCGCCAAGGTTAAAAAACATGGCTCTATCAGATCTTGTCCTAAGCTGGGGGTGTGTGTGTGTGTTTGAACTAGATGACCCCTAAGATCCCCTCCTGCTCAAAGATTCTATGATAATTGGATTTTTTTTAGTTGGAAACACTTAAGAAAGGAGGAACAGAAGACCCCGTTGTTGAAAACCTGTACCTGGAACAATATATATATATATTTTTTTTAAAAGGAAAGCTATCATTGGCTGAAAAAGGAGGGGGAAAAAGGGCAGAATCTGTTACCCAACAAGACTTTTTACCTTGTTACTAACATCCAAAATGCAGTTAAACATCATAGAAGGTTTTGGGTGCTCTAGAACAAATCATCAAGTCTGGTGGTAGGAAAAGTCCCAAATTTAGGCCAGATTTTGAGGTTCTCCTTCCCAGGAAGGTCATTTAAATGAGGAGAAAATCATTACGGCAAGGTCTGAATTTCCTTCACGTAGCGCAGGAACAAAAGTAACTTGAGTAAGTACAAAGTGCCCTCTGTTGTCCAATAAAAGCGGAAAAGATTTTTCACCGCTCCTAGATATAATGACTGCCGGCTTTCAGATTTTAGGAGAAAGCGTGCTTGAACCTTAAGGGGAATTTATTTCTTTACCTTGATTTTAATAGGGAGTGGACTCCCCAAGATAACAAATTCTGTTTCGGAAATAGAGGAAACATTCCATCAAATTGTTTCCAAGATCTGACTTTTCTCTCTATCTCCCCAACATTTTTTTTTAAGTGATTTTTGTCTCTGTCTTTTTGATCCAGGAGTTGGAGACATTTTCCATTAAGAACCCTGCATCCATTTCCTACCTCCTGGGAAAAAGTTGATGGAGGAAGAAAAGAGGTTTTGTGAGTGTGTGTTTGTGGTCATAGACATGCCAGCAATTAAAACCCTTTATTATGGGGTGCCCCACATTACACAGGTTTTACAAGCCCTTTTCATAAGGTGAGCCTGAGTTAAAGGGTTCTGGCTGGTTTAAATGGATTTGAAGAGGGGCTGGAGAAATTCAACAATGAGGAGATAGTAGCCAGGGGGAGCAAAAGTGAACCTCCACGTTCAGAGGTCTTGCCTTTGTCCCTTCCCCGTGACCCCTAAGTTGTCGGATACAGCTAAACCTATTAGATTTGCAGTTAAATATTCCGTTGGAAGCACACCTACTCCACATTTCGGTCCAACCACTTGGAGCTCTTCAAGCGGCTGAAATGCAGCCTTCCTCTTTTCTAATCAGAAATGCACGACATGATGCAGGGGGTTGCCCTTTAAACTGTTAGAATGAAGTAGCTATTGCTGCAAAGAAGAAAAAACCCCTAAGTATCTGCTCTCTCATTGCTTTCCCCCCTCTTCCTCCTCCTCTGATTTCATTTGGGCAAACTTGTCACAAAGGAACATAAAACCTGAATGCCTCGTGACCCCCTCACACACCACACAAAAGGCTCCTTAAGTGGCGTGGCATTCCCGCGCTTGCTGCCACTTTTCTGGAAAATGGCCTAGAACCCTATTCTCTTCTGCTTCTCCTTCCATTCGCTTCGCTGGTTTGACAGTTCAGATTTCTGGGGTGCAAATCCAGAAGGATGTGACACACATCCTACAGGCTTTGGGGAAACCCTAAAAAGAAAAAAAACCCCAACAGACTTGTCTCTCTGTTAAATGTTTTCCACCGCTCATAAAGGAAAGGAAAGGAAGCCAGTCCGTTTTTACTTAGTTAAGCCGTAGGAAAGGGAACATTGTCGCTGACTATGCGATCACAAATGCCCCTGATTAAAGTCATATGAATGCGGCTTTATCAAGGCGTTCAGCTGCCAAACGAACCATTTTTCGTTTTGGCACTCTGTGTGCACGCACGCACACCCATTGTTGCCCTTTCTCTTTAAGGAGCCTGTAAAGTAAATCTTGCTTGCTCTTTTTTTCCCCTTATACATATTTTGGCCATGTTCAGTATACACAGTTGAATGTTCTTTTAAGCTCTAGAGAGGTGAGAGGTTCTGCAGTGCTTAAAGCGAAAACCGAGAGGGAACGTAACCTGCCGTAGAGCGTTCTTAGAGCGTCATTTGAACATGAATTTGGACATAAGCACGACCTAAGAGCTCTGTTCGGTCCAGAAGACCTGGCCAAACACCATTTCAATTTGGAAACAAGTGCATTAAGTTCTTGAATGATCAACCATCCACTTAGTACCCCTTTCTTACCCATTATTCTGCACCAATCCATAGTTCCAGGCAAGGATATTTTCTGTTACAGCATGGAGATCAGTGGTGGGCGGTTTGATTCCCTGTTAAGAAGGTATAAAAAAGGATCAAACAGCTGCTTTTCAGTTGGTTTTTTTTCCCCCCCCCTTTACCCCAAATATTTGCATTAAGTTCACCGGCCAAAAAATGTTTGTGCTCTCAGCCTGAGGGAAGTAGTTTGAAATGAGGACCAGCTGCTTGTCCGCAACTGTTTATTGGAAGGCTGTGTTTGAAATTATTACATTTGTTTGGTTGAGAAAAGGATGGAGTCAAAGCCTTGCCTAGGGAGGATTCGAAGGATCGGGAGGAAGGCATATGCTTGTGAACATGTTCAGTTGGCTTATGTAGGCAGCCTCTGCACATTGCAAAATCTGTGCTTCGTTTAGCCACGATTTGTTGGCTAAGCATCATTTGGTGGGCTCATACGGCATGCTAGACCATAAAGCGTCCCTTAGGAGACCCCCCCATTCCTCCCTATTCCTAACTGCCCTACAAGGAAGGGTCCGTGAAACGGGTTGTATTTAAATAATACTCGCCGTATTATTTTTATTCATGATGATTTGTGTTGCTTGTAAGGTACCCGGTGAAGATTTTTATCCTAAAAGGCGGAATGTAATTTAAATAAAATTTCGAAGCACTAGGAGGTTTAAGCCCAAAGCAAAGTGGGCAAACCTCTGATCGGAATACGTGAAGTCAAGAGCAATTTGGCAATTCTAGTCCATTATCACCCATTGTCTCTGACAGTTTTTTATGGGGTTGTTAGATGTGTACAAAAGGTTTTGGTCACAGGTCATTCCAGTTTTGGGAATGGGCTTTCTTAGTTGGAGTCAGTTAACCAACACCCTGCATTGCTCTGGCTGGGTATTAGCATCTCCTGTGTGCCTCTGGCTTGATTGTAGAGCCTGATTCTTGATCTGCAAGAAAATGAGTCTCGGCGTGACCGTGGAATCGTATTTCCTTTGTCATCCACGTGCTCGTGACCACTAGCGACCTGCAAGAAAGGTGGCTGGGGGCGGAGCGGGGTGGAGGAAATCTGAGCAACTGAGGCAATTAGGCGGTATGTCTTCGTCAGGAGCAATAAAGAACTTCACTTTGGCTAATTGGAAGACTAAAATATAATAAACGAATAAGCTGCTTTTAAAATTTCCCAGGATGGGAAGGGGTGAACTAGAACCCAGGACAGAAGGCCGTAGAAAGTCAGTGGAAGGGCAGAACCCCATTTCCCGTAGGGCAGTGTTTCTCAACCTTGTCAGCTTTAAGATGTGTGGACTTCAGCTCCCAGAATTCCCGCCGGAAGGAAGAAGGGGACCCACCACCCCATCTCGAGGGCAGGTTATCCTTTGTTTGGCATGGCTGCCCCAAAGGGCGCCTTGGTGGGTGTTTTCCTGACAATGCTGTGGGCAGAAACGGGGGGCGGTTTGGAAGGGGGAGCTGTGTGGTGCACAGAGGGTCCCCGCTCGTGGCATCGTTGCAGGAGCTGGTGGGCTGCCCCCTCACCCGTCTGCAAGGGGGGTTAATTGGTCCCCAGCAGGCAAAGCCCCTTTGCTGGAAGAGCCCTGCTGCTGGACCCAGAAGGATGGGAGTTGTAGTCACAGCCCTGGGGGGACAGCCAGTTTGGGCAAACCAACCCCTGATGGGGCTGCCAAGAGCGATGGGGCTCACAGTCCCAGATGACCATGTGTTTCCTGCCCTTCGCTCTACAGCAGGATTTCTCAAACCTGGCCTCTTTAAGATGTGTGGACTTCAACTCCCAGAATTCCCCTGGCCGGGGAATTCTGGGAGTTGAAGTCCACACATCTTAAAGCGGCCAGGTTTGGAAGAATTCTGGGAGTTGAAGTCCACACATCTTAAAGCGGCCAGGTTTGGAAGAATTCTGGGAGTTGAAGTCCACACATCTTAAAGCGGCCAGGTTTGGAAGAATTCTGGGAGTTGAAGTCCACACATCTTAAAGCGGCCAGGTTTGGAAGAATTCTGGGAGTTGAAGTCCACACATCTTAAAGCGGCCAGGTTTGGAAAGAGGGAGAAGTCGGTGGGCTGCTTGCTCAGATGAGGGGACCCAAGGAATGTAGGCTGGTGCGCCTTCTTCTCCATCTTCTCCCCCTCCGCTCCGTACTTAGATGGTCCCTCCCATTCTCTCGCACCCACCCCGTCCTCACGCACGCAAATGGTCTTTCCCGCCGCCCTCGTCCCCGAGCGCGCAGGCGCGGGGTGGCCTCCCGCTCCATACTTGGCGATGCCCGGGGAGCGGCCGGCTGATGGGCTCGGGGCCCCGCCGGTGGGGCGAGGGGGAAGAATGGGCGGGGCTCCCCGCGCGCGCTGGCTGACCCGGATGTGCAACTGCTAGGCAACGGCGGAAGTGTCGAAAAAGAGAAAGGAGGAGGTGGCGGCGGCGGAGGAGGAGGGCTGCGGCCTGGCTCAGAACTCGGAGAGGCCGGACGGAGGGACCCGGAGTCACTGCCGTCGTCGTCGCCGCCGCCGTTTCCGCTGCTGGTGAGGAGGGCTCGGCCCCGCAGAGGCATCATGGTGAGGGACCGCGAGGGAAGTCGCTCGTCGTTGCTGTCAGGGGCGGGGGGGGAGGGAAGGGGAGGGGCAAGGGCTGCTGTCAGGAGGGGAAGCGCTTCCTCGCTTAGGGGGCGCTTGGCGGGCCGGGGGAGTCTGTGATAAAGGAAGGAGGGGACGTAGCGTCGCTTCCTGCCAACCTGGAGGCTAAAAGCCCCATCCTCCCCAGCCAAGGGGTCCCCCTAGCTGTGGGGGAGAGGGCTGCAATACTGCTTCCTAACGCGTTGGTTTTCACAGCCCGGTTGGGTTATTGGTAGCCAGTAGCGAGACAGTCGCAGCCAGCCTGGTGCGTTGGGCTATAATGCCCGTTATCTCCAGCCAAACGAAGGACGGTTAACAGGAGAAGCGGGTGGCGAGGTTAAAAGGCGTTTGGCTTTCTGGAGGCAGGGAGAATGGCTTTCTTTCCCCCCTACTGGGAGTGGAGTAAGAAAAGATGGCTGTGGGGCTGATCTGTGCTGGGGGAGGTAATGAGCAAATACGAATGGAGCAGAGAGTAAAGAGGAAAGGCTTTTCGGTGGCGATTGGGAAGGGAGCAGCACCCTCTTTGCCGTGCAGATGTTTTCAGTTGAAGCTCTTCTCTTCGTTGTTAGTCTCTGGCTGGGGTTGACAGGAGAAGGCCCAACATTTCAGGAGAGCCTCTCGCTGCCAGTCTCTGCCCTTAAGGGTAGGAGAAAAGATTTTAGGACTATGGAAATGTCTGTCTGTCTTCTGTTTCCCCAGGCGCTATGTTGAACAGGAGGGAGGGAGCAGAGGAAAAGGGAGATATGCCTGGCTGCAAGTTAAGGATTATTTCTGACACAAAATTGAAGAAGCCATGTAATTATAGTTGCCTGGCCTGAGAGAGTGTGTTATGGGGAGGTGAGGATGTTGGGAGGCAAGAAACATTACCGTAATACCTCCCATACCCACCCCAAGTGCTTAACATAATTGGCAATTGTGAGGTAGATTTCGTTTGTGGAGGCTGATAGTGATGGGGAGCTGAGGAAAGGTGGGAAAATGGACTGAAGATGGGGATGGGGGAGCGGGAGACATGGAATTGTGTATTGAAAAGGAAAACACCTGGTTTTCTTTCCTTCAACATATTTTGAATGGTGGAGAAAAGGAGGAATGAGCATCAAGAGGTGAAAGGAAGGCCCACCCAGATTTCTAACAGATCTGTTGCTCTCTTTCTCTGCCTGCTCAAAGTGTAAGTCGAGACTGTAAGTTCCTCGGGCATGACAGTAACAGTAAACCCTTAGTTTATGGAGAAAAAGGCTTTGGGGATACTAAGCAGGACACTTGCATTTTGCTGTTAAGACTGCTTCTATGGTAATAGTTACTGGAGTGCAGAAGGGGAGGATGTGTTGGTCTTTGTCTGCTTGAGCTGCGGGAATTGGCTGCGAAGTGCAGCTGATGTGAGATACCATAATGGGGATACAGTATAGTTTGAGAAGATGAGGTCTAGATAAGGAAGGTCTCTTCTCACTAATTGTGAGGGCTAATTGTGAAAAGTATACAAAGAATTATGAGGGGGCTGTTGTGGAAGAGAAGAGGCAATTAGTTGGGTTGGCTTCTAGGAAGACATTTCTCTACTTCGCAGGGGGTTGGACGATGACCTCAGATCATTTCCAACTCTACGATTCTATTTTGAAGTAAGAACATTCTGCATCTTAAGCAATTAGACACTGGTATCCCATTGGGAGAAGGTTCTTCATGACCAATGGGCTTAGCGGCTTTGACAGTTGGAAGTTAGTGTAAGGAAGGCATTGGCCTGATACAAGTGTGTTGGTTTGTTCAGTGAAAGAGAAAGTGTCCTTTCCTAGCTTGTGTTTGCTGGACACAATAGAATGGATGCTTGTAGAGGCACAAGATGGCATATCTCATTGAGTCATATAGGTGGGGCTCTGTTGTCATTGTGACATACGCATTCTGGCCATGCAGGAACACCTTACGGCTTTCAGCTAACACCGTGCATCTTTCAGAGTGGATTGTGTGTGCTTTTGCTGTAAGTCAGCTGATAACCTGACGAGCTCCAAAAGCATAAATCCACCTTGTTGATCAATACGGAGCTGTATCAACTTGTCACCCATCCCTGTGAGTCACAGGCCAGTCTGATGGTAGATCTCACCAGCTTGCATACCCAGAATGAAAGGTTTCTTGCCTGGAGCAGTTCCCTTAATTAATGGCTGCCGCAACAGGAAGTGTTCTCACTTAAACTTTTCTACTCAAAGGCAAAGGTGAACAGCCTCATGCTGAATAGAATTGTTCCTCTGGTTAGCTTGGTTTTGCTGTGAGTAGCAGTAAGTCACCAGATTCTCAGAGTGAGAACCTGATCTTGGCGTCTCATTTGAAATCTTAGAAATGGGGATGCGCCAAGCATGTCTTCTCCCCTCTGAGCCTGAGGAGTTAGGTTTGGTGGGCACTGGTGGGATCCCCTTTAAGAGGACGTGTGTTCTAGAACCAGTCAGGAATGTATGTTTATGCTCACAGAATTTCCAAGCATTTGGATACGCTTTTCACGACTCTGCTTGTTTGGTTTCACAGACTTACCGCAAGTTCTCTGTACTGGCTTGCAGGTAACTCCTATGTGCAGGAGCACACAGTTGTGTTAGGAGGGAAGCAATAACCTTTTAATGCTACTAACGAACAATAAATTTGATAAGAGAATCTGGAAGCATATTAAAAAAAACAATTTTGTGCAGCTTCAGAATTTCTGAATACTGTAGTGTTGATCCGAATTGAAACAAACATAGCTGTCTACAGTCCATTAATTGTTTTGAAGTTTGTTTTGGGGCAACCGTCCTCCTGATACCTTCAAACCTATGGTTTACTTTTCCAAATGTTTCCTGAAGTGAGAAGATGACTTCTATCCAAAAGAATAAAAGTATTCTCTGTGCCTCCTAGGCCAAGCTGTTTTTCATTAGAGGCCTACCCTTCTTAATTTCCCTTTCATGCCCTCTGGTCAGGCTTTTGTTTGTTTGTTTGCTTCTTAGTGGCTGGCACTCTGGGAACTGCTGACTTCAGATTGTCCGTTTAATTTCTATTTTGCTTGCAGAGGAAGGATCAATTAACCCCATGCCAATTAAATGCGTCTCAAATTGAGTAGCCTTTCTTTCCCTCTGAGTGGTTGAGAAGATGGTTGTTTTTCTTATTAGAAGCTCAATAGGGTGGCAGAGGCTGTTGCAAAGGATATCCTTCCCTATTTGTATTCTGTGCTTTAGGCTCTGGAATGCAGGTGGGAAAGCACTAGTCTGCAGCCCTCCCCCCCAAAAGCGTGTTAAGACTCAGGCATGACCTGTTCCTGGTGTGCATTTTTAGTAGCAGTAATATGGCCTCTATTGCTGAGCACAAAACATAACCATAAGGTGTAGTGCTTTTCTATTTTTAGAGCACTTGTGGTACTGTACTTGCCTGTTGGAATAACTCCTTTTGGAGGAGGAGGAGGAGGAGAAGTGGCACTTCTCCTCCAACAAGCTGAGTTAGCACTGTAGGGTAGAGCCAGCAGCAGAAGTGGGACAAGCAGTGAACAGCTGGGATATTTTGCACGACTGTCCTTGCTTAAGCCCCAGCTGCATGTCTCATTTCCCCTGCCATGGGGGTTTGCATTTTAAAATGCTTGTTTCCTTGCTCAGCAAAGGTTCTGCCAGCAAAACAGCAGGCAGAGAGGTGGGGCAAATGATCGATCAAAAGGCCAGGAGAATAAAAATGGTCTTTGCTTGCACTCTCTGGGTAGAACAGTGGGCACTAGGGAGGTATTCAGGGACATCATCTTCCTGCTGAAGAGGTGTTATGGCTACCTGATCTGAAATGCTTCAGAACCTGGCAGCAACTGGAGCGTAACCAGTTTCTGTTGGATTGAGGCAACTTCAGACATTTTACAAAAGGTTGAGGGGTACATTCTAAAAGTAGCACCTGTCGGGGCAAGAGGGCTCAGGAGTTTTAAGAATGAAACAGGTGCTTTCAGTATGTACAAGGCTTAACTCACCCATTGTACCTCTTATAACCCCCTGAACCCTCCGCCCTGCCTTAAAAGCTCCCCAAATGCCTGGTCCTACCCATTCAGTTTGGCTCTAGGGCTACAAAACAGAAGCTGCACTCAGGCTAATCTTGTATGTAGATGGATTCAGGCATCCCTTGGGTTAGCCAGGCCTCGGTTCTTGTAGGCTGTAAGAGCCGAGGTCCGCCCTTTGAAATATGCCTGGAAAAGTACAAGAAACCACCAGAGCTCTTTCCACACTGGGCATGATGTGTTACCAGTGACTAATTAATAATCTGCCTATCCTATTTTCTACTCACTGATGTTTGAGCAGTCTCTCATGAGCAGTCCCTTACAGTTGTCCAAGAGTTAGGCTAACCGGCAAGATTGTCTATTGATTAGGAAGAAACTGCAGCTGGTACACCAGCCAAAACTGATGAAGCGTGCTTCTGGGCTGGCTCAGTTGTCTTGGGCTTGTTAGTGGTGCCTGACAAGTTCCTGTGGTAGAGGCATGCCTAGCTCCGTGCTCTATACCCTCAAAGCATCCACCATGTTAGGCAGGCTGGTTCCTACATGACTCTGTGTTTGGTGTGCACATCGCCATTTAATTCTGCAGTTGCTTCTTTGTTTACTAGTGGTTTTAACCGCCATTATATAAAATCACTGAGGTTTACTGCAGAACACCCCAAGGTCTCTCTTCCAGCCCTCCCTTCCCATACCTTGCATGGGGGCTAACACAACAAATTATGTCCCTGAACTACTATAAAGCTTAGAGAAATCACAAGGCTTCTCTGTTGTCGGAAAGCACGCCTAACTTTAGCCGCAGGAGTAATTGGTAAAGAAGCCCCAAAGTCCAGAACTGTACATTTCTCCCAAGTTGATAAGAGAAACCAAATCCTTGGAGAAGTGGGTGGTGGTTCTGAAGACTTAATTCACCATTCAAAGAACCGTATTTATTGCTCCTCCGTGGCCTTTGTACTTAGAGGTGGTCTCTCCCGGTTCCTCCTTA